GAGCGCGCCCTGCAGTACTTCATCTCGACACCTGACATCGGGCTCTCCTACTCTACGCTGACAACAACCTCCTTCAACCTCAATGGCTACGTGGACGCGGATCATGCCGCTGATCCTGCGAATCGACGGTCACGAACTGGCTTTGTCTTCCGCCTGGAACCAACGGGACCAATCTCCTGGAACTCGCAAAAGCAGGAACTAGTTGCCCTGTCATCGGCCGAAGCAGAATACATCGCCGCAACAGCAGCAGTTCGCAAAGGGCTGTACCTACAGGAGTTGTTGCAGGAAGCGAAAATTCCAACTTCGCCTACCTTTCGCCTTCACTGCAACAACCAGAGTGCCATCAAGATCACGAACAAGCCAGGGTTCGTGAACCGCACGAAGCACATTGCGCTTCGATACTCTTTTGTCAAAGACGAAATTGACCAAGGCAAGGTTTGTCAGAATATAATGATTGTCTAGTTTGTAGTGGGGTACTCAATAGTGAGTATACCCTTTTAGGGCTTGCTATTTATACCTCCCTCCTTTCTAGTCAAACCCTCTTTTGCCTAATTCTCTCTTGCCTAGCTAGGTAAACCCTAGCTATGGCTCCTTGTTCTAGCTACTATTTGGACATGGCATCAGAGTTGTTACGCTCTTGGCCTGTGGGCCCGCCTACTGCTTCCGCTGCTACTGTTCTGCTGGTCGCGCGCCCCGGGCACGCGACACTTTTTCATCCCGCCGCGCGCTCGTGGCGCGCGGCGGTTTTCTGCCCGCCATGCGCTCGGGACGCGTGGCAGTTTCCTGCCCGCCGCGCACCCTGGGCACGCGTGGCGGTTTTGCGTTCCGTCGACCCGCGCGCCCGTCCCCGTCGACCTACGCGCGGCTCTCCGTCGCCCTTTGTGGCGGCCCCGTCAACCCGCGCGCGGCTCCTCATCGCCCTTCGCGGCGGCCCCGTCGACCCGCGCGCGGCTCCCCGTCACCCTTCGCGGCGGCCCCGTCGACCTGCGCGCGGCTCCCCGTCGCCCTTCGCGGCGGCCCCGTCGACCCGCGCACCGCCCCCGGGGACCCGTGTGCCCGTCCCCGTCGACCCGCGCGTCGCCTGCGGCCCCCCCTCCCCGCACACCTGAGTTTGCTTTCCGCACACCCGAGTTCGCTTCCCGCACGCTTGCGCACACTTCGCGCACACCTGAGCTCGCTTACCGCACACTCAGGGTATGGGGGTGACGGGTATGGGGGTGGCGGGTTTGTGAGCCGTCACCTGCTCCTCCTCCTCCTCCTCCTCCTCCGTCTCCCACTGCTGCAGCTGCCGCTGAGGGGGATGGGTGTGTGGGAGCCGAGGGAGTGGTGCTAGGGGGGTGACGTGGGAGTGGAGCTAGGGGTGCAGCAAGGGGTGTGTGAAAGGGGGGTGGGACAGTTGGGGGAGGTTGCGTGGAGGCTGCCGTCATGTCGCCTGCAGCGCCAGTAGTCCGGAGCCTGTCTTGCTCTCGGTAGCCCAGCGAGCCTGCTGTGCCTGTCGCCCGTGGGTCCGTTGCTCTTGCCGCTCGTCGTAGCCGCGGAGCTAGATACTCCTGTAGTCCGGAGCCGTCGTGCTCTCGGTAGCCATTGTGTCAGCCGCTCCTGTTGCCCGTGTGTCTGCAGCTTCAGCCGTTGCCTCCCATCTCCTCTCCTCTCATAGTCCAGCCTCCTCCTCCTCACGTGCCCGTTGTGAATGCCTCTAGCTTTGCTTGCACTTGTGAACCTGCACTGTGATTTCTTGCTATGCTGATTATACCCCACTTTGACTATAGGGGTGTGTTAGAATATAATGCTTGTCTAGTCTGTAGTGGGGTACTCAATAGTGAGTATACCCTTTTAGGGCTTGCTATTTGTACCTCCCTCCTTTCTAGTCAAACCCTCCTTTGCCTAATTCTCTCTTGCCTAGCTAGGTAAACCCTAGCTATGGCTCCTTGTTCTAGCTACTATCTTGACAAGGTTGACCTCGCGTACTGTCCCACCACCGAGATGGCAGCCGACTACCTCACCAAGCGACTGCCACGTCAGCAGTACAAACACTGCTCCGACCTCACTGGAGTAGTCAAGCGAGTCAGCTACCTGCGTGCCCAGGAATGAAGGGGAGTGCTACGATATAAAACTTTATGAGAAGGCATTCCTGTATGCTGCAGGAGCCGACTCTACCGAGTACGAAGTCGAGGAGTCAGAAGAGTCGAAGCGACACTGGTAACCGTGTGATCAAGACCGATGCAGGCAGAAACATTTGAAGTGAAACGAGCGGGAACAGGTTTGAAACGGTTTCCCGCGCCGCATGGTTCGAACTTTGGTGCAATAAGGGAATGTACCTCTTAGAGTACATGGCTAGTCTAGGTCGTTTCGTATTCCTTTGTATTTCCTATTTAAACCCGATGTATGCATGCTATTATCAATCCCAGTCATTTACATTCACTCTGACCTGAGGTCACTACTTCCGCTGCAACACTACCCTGCGATCAACCCTGAGCGATCCTTCGCTAAGTCCCACTTGGGATTGTAATAGGAGGTCACGGTCGATCTCGACCGTCAAGGGCAAGGATCTGGCGGTGCCAAAGCAGGGTCTGTCAAAAGTTAGAAGAAAAAAGAGGGTTGAACTAGCAGAAATGGGGATACAAATAGCAAACCCTAGAAGGGTTGTACTCGCTATAGAGCACCCCACTACAGGCTAGAACATAAGAATAACATTCTGACACACCCCCATAGCCAAAGTGGGGTGTAATCAGCAGTGCAAGCAAAGCAGTACAAGCTCAGGGTGGATCACAATGTCACCACACATTCTGAGCACAAGTTCAAGAAGTAAGTTCAAGTGCACAATTATGAGCAAAGCTAGTGGTGGTCACAACGGGCAAGTGAGGAGGAGGAGTGAGAGCGAGAGGAGTTGGGAGGCGACGGCTGAAGCTGCAGACACTCGGGCAACAGGAGGCACACTGGCACAGCGGCTACCGGGCGAAGCCCCCGGAATACTGGAGTAACTGGCCCCGCGGCTAAAGTAGCGGCAGACGAGCAACGGACCCACGGGCGGCTGGCACAGCTGGCTACGACTGGGCTACCGGGCGAAGCCCCCGGAATACAGGTGCTGCTGACGACACGACGGCAACCTCCATGCAGCTTCCCTAACTATCCAACTCCCCCAACACACACCCGCTGATACGCTCCTAGCTCCACTCCCACGCACCCCCCTTAAACCCTAAACCCGAGTCTCCCACACAACCACCCCCCTCAGCGACAGCTGCAGCAGTGGGAGACGAAGGAGGAGGAGAAGGGGACGGCACGCACAAACGACACCCCCACAACCATCACCCCCATACCCGTCACCCCCATACCCTGAGTGTGCGGTAAGCGAGCTCAGGTGTGCGTGAAGCGTGCACAAGCTTACGGGAAGCGAACTCGGATGTGCGGTAATCGAACTCAGGTGTGCGGGGAGGGGGGCCGCAGGGTGACGCGCGGGTCGACGGGGACGGGTGCACGGGTCCCCAGGGGCGGCGCGCGGGTCGACGGGGCCGCCACGAAGGGCGACCGGAAGCCGCGCGCGGGTTGACGGGGCCGCCGCGAAGGGCGACGAGGAGCCGCACGCAGGTCGACGGGGACGGGCGTGCGGGTCGACGGAACGCGAAACCGCCGCGTGCGCCCAAGGTGCGCGGTGGGCAGAAAACCGCCACGCGTCCCGAGCGCATGGCGTGCAGAATACCGCCGCGCAAAGCAGGTAACCGTCGCGCGCCTCGAGGCGCACGGTGGGCAGAAAACCGCCGCACGCCCCGAGTGCGCGGTGGGCAGAAAACCGCCGCGCGCCTCGGGGCGCACGGCGGGCAGAAAACCGCCGTGCACCTCGGGGCGCAGGGCGGGAAGAAAAAATGCCGCACGCCACGGGGCGTGCGGCACAGAGAGTAGTAGTAGCAGTTGCAGCGGAAGCAACGAGGTGGTGAGCCCACCCAGAGGATCGATCCAAGGGGATCGACCTGCTCTGATAGCATGTCAAAAGTTAGAAGAAAAAAAGAGGGTTGAACTAGCAGAAATGGGGATACAAATAGCAAACCCTAGAAGGGTTGTACTCGCTATAGAGCACCCCACTACAGGCTAGAACATAAGAATAACATTCTGACAGGGTCGTGGCTATCATTTTTTCTGTTTGGCTGATATTCAGACATGCTTTTTTGGATTGATCTGATGGGTCAGTCAGCATCAAACAAAACGTTTTTGCCCGGGGGACCTGTCTGATGCATCAGACGTCCCTTGGACCCTAGCGACGACCCAGTGCCGAAGGAGAGCCTGTGAAAATCATGGCCGTGAGGAGCAACTACCCGTTCTCCTGGCCGGCTATCGCGTAACTCCTGGACCCCATGGCATCCTTCCTTCCCCCCCCCTGAGGGGTATTACACTCTAAAAAGCGGGGTGGGCTAGGAAATAGCTCTGATACATGTGTTATGAGTTGTACTAAACAGAGTGCGCGGAAGACTTCATAAGAGGATGAATTACAGAATACCGAGACAATGAATAAAGCAGGCATTTATATGGCGAATACGTGCTAGGCGCGGACCTCGGGACGCGCATGGGTTGGATGTGTCGCGATTGGTGTGAAGCGACTCGGCAGTAATTCGGGCCGAAGTGGAGGTCGAACATGAAACTGATGCGAAGTGCTCGGGGCTGTACGTCCTAGGAGCAGACTCAGTAATGAATATCTACATTCATTACACATTTTCAAATACACTTCACGAAGGCTCAATTTGTGGTGAATATCCAGGGCAGTTCTAAGTGACAAGATCATCTACAAACTATGTAGCAGAAGCTGGAGCCTATATAAAAGGTCTATGTGAACGTCCCCCAATGTACGCGTTAAGAGACCTTCCCCACACCAATTTGCTTCCTCAAAATCCTCTCCGAGTGCTCGCCCCTCCCCCATTCCCCAACCCCATAGCAGATCTGAGGCACACCGTCAAACCCTGTCTTAGCGTTTTCTACTCTTGGTTCACGCTTGGACGCACCAATTTGCCGCCATGGCAGATCAAGAGGAGAAGCCGTCGGCTGCGCTGGCTGCGGCTGAGCGAATCCGCCAGGCAACGTTGAAAGCCGCCAGCAAGGGAATGTCTCGCGCGCAGGCAGAGAGGGCTGCGGCTGCTGCTGCTCGCAACGTGAACGCGTACGGGCAGAAGGAGGAAGGGCCGAGCCGCTGGCAGGAGCGCAAGGAGGCGAAGCAACGCATGTACATGGAAAGTACGGAGCAGGCGGCGAAGCTGGGCACGCGCGTGGACATGCGATCGGGCGCGGCCGGTGCGAATCAGCAGTGCCAGAAGTGCTTCAAGCTGGGCCACTGGACGTACGAGTGCAAGAACGAGCGCGTGTACATCGCGCGCCCCTCGCGCACGCAGCTGCTGCGAAACGCCAAGCTTCGCGACAAGTCAGCGCTGGCGGCGGGAGGGTTTGGCGGCGATGACGACGTCGGGTTCGGGGCCGAGCGGAGCTTCTTGATGGACCGGCGGTTCGAGGAACAAGCTGCGATCGACCGCGCGAAGCAGAAGGAGATAGAGACGCAGCAGAAGGAGGAGGAGAGGAAGAGGAGGGCTCAAGAGAAGAAGCGGAAAGAGGAGGAACGGAAAATTAAGCGGGAGGAGCAGAAGAGGAAGGAGAAAGAGAGGCGGAAGAGGAAAGAGAAAGAGAGGGCGCGAAGGAAAGAGAAGGAGAAGATGCGGAGGAAGAAGCGTGGGAAGAAAAAGTATAGCGAGAGCGAGAGCGACAGTGATGAGAGCGATACGGACGAGAGTGACGACAGTGACACGGAGAGTGATAGCGAAAGTGCGAGCGGGAGCGAGAGCGAGAGCGAGACGGCGTCAAGTGGATCGGAAAGCGAGTCGGAGAGTGAGAGTGATCGGCGGAGTAGGAAACGGCGTTCTCGCGGCGGTAAGAGGTCGCGCAAGAGAGGGTCGGGAAGAAATGGCGGGTCCCGCAAGAAACGACGCAGAGGCGGTGACGACGAGAGCGAGAGCGATAGTGAGAGTGAGAGTGAGAGTGAGAGTGGGAGTGAGACTGAAAGTGACAGCGAGAGCGACGGAAGCGATAGTGAGGACGAGAAGTCAGGGCGGAAAAAGGGACGTAAAAGGGGAAAGGGTGGGAAGAAAGGAGGGACGGGAGGCCCTGACACGGCAGACGAGGAAGCGGCGACGAAGGTGAAGGGCCGGGGAAAGAAAGAGGCAGGTGTGGCGGACGAGGAGAGGCGTAGGGAGAAGCTGGCGGCCGAGGCGCGCGAGAGTGGCGGGGTGGAGGGCGGCGGGCGCGCGGGGCGAGAGAAGGGCGAGGCGAGGGCGCTGAGAGCAGGGGAAAAAGGGGAGAACGGGAGAAGCAGAGAGGGGAGCGAGGAGGAGCGGGACGAGAGGCGGCGGGACGAGGGCGTGGCGGTGAGAAGCGAGGAGCGCAAGGCAAGGGGCCAGGCTGACCGTGGCGCGGACGCGCGGGGCGATGAGGAGCACGGTGGTGGGGGCTGGGAGAAGGAGAAGCAGGAGGGTGGTGCGAGGGGCGATGCAGAGAGGGGCGGCAGGCCCCGAGGGTGGAGTGAGAATGGCGACGGGGATGGTGGCGAGCGCGAGGAGGGGGGCGTGGCGAGGGGGGGAGTGCACGGTGGTGCACATGATAGTGCAGGGGGGCGAGGTGGCAAGGGGCGTGATGAGAGGCCGGGAGCGGATGGCGCACGGAGGACGAAGGATAAGGCTCGCAGGGTGATGGATAACGGCAGTGGAAGCGAGATCGAGAGTGATGAGGAGAGCGGGAGCGAGAGTGAGAGTGAGAGCGAGAGTGAGGAGAGTGAGGGGAGGCGTAGGAAAGGAGCAGGGAGGAGGGAGGAGAGGGGAAGAGGCAAGGGCAAGTGAAGACCATCTTGTTGGACGAGCCTTTGCTGCCCACTCTGGTCAGCTATTGTCAGTGCTATGCTCCTCCGTGCCATGATCTTGATTGTGCTATCCCTGCTTCATTTTCTTGGCATGAGCCTGAGAGCAAGCTGCATGCTTCTGAGCATCTGCTGGCTCATGTGCCTTGGCTCCTCTGCTCCTTTTTCTCTGCTCCTCGGCTGCCTCTGCGTGTGCCACAGCAGCATCCCCTGCTCGTCATGCCTGCTGTATGCCTGCTCTTATCCGCCAGCATGAAATACCTCTCTCATCCGCCTGCTGCTGCTTCTCGTAGCCACCTTGTTTGCCCTGCCAGCTGCACAGCTGCTCCTGACTTTAGTCAAGTGCCATCAAACATTGGTCACATTGCCATTGTGGTTGGCCTCAGGCAGGCCTATTCATGTGCTAGGAATATTTCTGTTCTTCCTGTATTGTTTGTCTCACTTCCTCTCCATTTATCTGCCAACTACATAAGCCTCTTACGGTATTCCAGTGATTCCATCCGCCTTTTGTTCAGAAATGACAGTATGTTTTTGTGTAAAATAGCCAGTGGGTGTTTGCCCTAAGCCCCAAACACTTGTTCCGGCACTCTCCACCCTCTTATGTTGCCCTCCCTGGCATTCCATGGGTGGGTACACTCTGTAAAAGCTGCTTTGCGGGAGGCATCAAACTAGTCACTGCAGCAACACAGCTCATTAACAGAAGCTGGCTCATTTCCAAATACGGTAGTTATGGCTCCACAAAAGTGAAAGATGTACCGTAATTGACACGGCACTGCAACCCGGAGCCCCTGATTCCTGGTACCGTACTAGGCTTCTGCAGCAAGTTAAAAATCCAGCACAACAAAAAATCTAAAGAGAGTAGGAAGAACGTTTTAAAACTCTGCAAGTACGGAAGACGATAATCACCACCCATTGGGCAGATGTGAGGAAATCATTCTAAAAAAAAGTCAGTTCATCCTTCGCAGTCAAGCCAGCGGACATGGCGAGCATGGCGGCTAGCGGCCTCCGGCAAGCTTGGATTGCAGCCAGCTCCTGACACCACTGACGTTGGAGCCGAGGCTCATGAAGGAGTTGCCTGCCTTGTACGACCCCTGTGACATCTGCGAGTCACCCGCGCTCACTCCCGAGGACAAGCCTGAAGACAGGCCGGATGACATGTTAGACGACATGCCCGATGCTGCCCCCGACCCCGACAACTCAGTCAGGCGCGCCTTGTCGTCGCCTTCCACGCACTCCCACTCGTCCTCCCTGTTGGGGCAGTGCTTGTCAATGAGCGTCTTGAGGCGGTACGCTATGTCCTTCATGTCGGGGCGCCGTGTGCCCGGTGACTTGATGCAGTCCAGTGCCAGGTCGGCGAAGTCCACAATGGCCTCCTCACTGCACTCCAGGCTGTCGTCCTTGAGCTGCTCCAACTCGTACGCCTCCACCAGCTTCGCCGCCTGCCACCCACCACCACGCACACACGCCACCCCGCCACACCACCACCACATCAACCAGCCAATCCACCAACCATTTCAACTGTGCAGATGATCTGTTTGCTCCCCTCAATCCCTTCCCCAGCGCACGTACCCATTTGCGGATGTGAGTCTTGTTGTTGACCTGCGGTGACTTGCCAGTGAGCAGCTCCAGCAGCACGATGCCGTAGCTGCATGCACACACACACAGCCATGCACCCGTGCAAGGGGGTCAGAGCCGTCAATGGACGCACAGGGACATGAGGGGTGGGCACGATGCGCAGCAAAGATAGTTGCAGCAAAGGGAGCGGCAACGGATGGGCAAGGGGAGCGAAGGCAGGGAGGGTGAAGAGGTGGGTTGAGGGGCGACCTGAAGACGTCGCTCTTGGCGGTGACCATCTGCGTGCGGTTGTAGTCGGGGTCCACGTAGCCGGGCGTGCCCGCCACTCGCGTGGCGTCCGCATCGGCGCCGTGAGTGAGGCGCTTGAGCAGCCCAAAGTCAGCCACCTTGGCCTGCATGTCGTGGGTAACCAGGATGTTGGCGGGCTTGATGTCACGGTGCACGATGGACGTCTCAAACCCGTGCAGGTATGCCAGCCCCTCCGCCGTGCCCTGCGCCAGCCGCAACCGCTGCCGCAGCGACAACGCGCCTGTCGGCAGGAGGGCAGCAAGAGAGGGTGGTTGAGAGAGTGGTTGTGTGAGTGAAGCCATGCGCGCACGGGTGAGCGGCATGGTGCGGTGCGGTGGCGGGTGCGGGTGCTCACGCTTGGTCTTGTGGATGTGGTACTGCAGGTCCCTGTTGCCCACGAACTCGTACACGAGGATCTGCTCCTGCTTGCCCGTCTCCGTGTTCTGGTCCAGACAGAACCCCAGCAGCCGCACCAGGTTCACGTGGTGCAGGTTCGCCATCGCCCGCACCTGCGAACACCCACACGACACACGCACCCCACCCTCACATGAACACGGCACCAGGGAACTGATTCTCAGTCTCCACGAGAGGCCACGTGATGTGCGGCCGCAGTTGCTCATGTGAGGAGGACTCACGTAGCGCATCAAAGGCATGGGCAGCAGCAAGTGCGGTGGACAGGGAGGATAGAACGCAGATGAGGGAGCAGCAGAGGGAGAGGGGGTGGGGAAGCAGGGAGGGAAGGAGGCACCTCAGTCTCGAACTCGTTGGTCATGACGGTGGAGCGCTTGATGGCCCACAGCAGGCCCTGTGGTGACACGCCCTTGTACACGATGCCAAAGCCACCCTCGCCCAGCACGTTCTCCGCCGCCCAGTTGTTGGTGGCCTTCATTATCTGCTGCAGCGAGAACTGCTCACACACGTCCAGCCCCTCCCACTTCTCTGCTCACTCACACACGCCCACCCCACACCGTGACAGGCACATGGCAGAGCAGGGGAGTAAGGCAGGAGGCAGAGCAGGGGAGTAAGGCAGGAGGCAGAGCAGGGGAGTAAGGCAGGAGGCAGAGCAGGGGAGTAAGGCAGGAGGCAGAGCATGGGAGTAAGGCAGGAGGCAGAGCAGGGGAGTAAGGCAGGAGGCAGAGCATGGGAGTAAGGCAGGAGGCAGAGCAGGGGAGTAAGGCAGGAGGCAGAGCATGGGAGTAAGGCCGGAGGCAGAGCAGGGGAGTAAGGCAGGAGGCAGAGCAGGGGAGTAAGGCAGGAGGCAGAGCATGGGAGTAAGGCAGGAGGCAGAGCAGGGGAGTAAGGCAGGAGGCAGAGCATGGGAGTAAGGCAGGAGGCAGAGCAGGGGAGTAAGGCAGGAGGCAGAGCATGAGAGTAAGGCAGGAGGCAGAGCAGGGGAGTAAGGCAGGAGGCAGAGCAGGGGAGTAAGGCAGGAGGCAGAGCAGGGGAGTAAGGCAGGAGGCAGAGCATGGGAGTAAGGCAGGAGGCAGAGCAGGGGAGTAAGGCAGGAGGCAGAGCATGGGAGTAAGGCAGGAGGCAGAGCAGGGGAGTAAGGCAGGAGGCAGAGCATGGGAGTAAGGCAGGAGGCAGAGCAGGGGAGTAAGGCAGGAGGCAGAGCATGGGAGTAAGGCAGGAGGCAGAGCAGGGGAGTAAGGCAGGAGGCAGAGCATGGGAGTAAGGCAGGAGGCAGAGCAGGGGAGTAAGGCAGGAGGCAGAGCATGAGAGTAAGGCAGGAGGCAGAGCAGGGGAGTAAGGCAGGAGGCAGAGCATGGGAGTAAGGCAGGAGGCAGAGCAGGGGAGTAAGGCAGGAGGCAGAGCATGGGAGTAAGGCAGGAGGCAGAGCAGGGGAGTAAGGCAGGAGGCAGAGCATGGGAGTAAGGCAGGAGGCAGAGCAGGGGAGTAAGGCAGGAGGCAGAGCATGGGAGTAAGGCAGGAGGCAGAGCAGGGGAGTAAGGCAGGAGGCAGAGCAGGGGAGTAAGGCAGGAGGCAGAGCATGGGAGTAAGGCAGGAGGCAGAGCAGGGGAGTAAGGCAGGAGGCAGAGCAGGGGAGTAAGGCAGGAGGCAGAGCAGGGGAGTAAGGTAGGAGGCAGAGCAGGGGAGTAAGGCAGGAGGCAGAGCAGGGGAGTAAGGCAGGAGGCAGAGCAGGGGAGTAAGGCAGGAGGCAGAGCATGGGAGTAAGGCAGGAGGCAGAGCAGGGGAGTAAGGCAGGAGGCAGAGCATGGGAGTAAGGCAGGAGGCAGAGCAGGGGAGTAAGGCAGGAGGCAGAGCATAGGAGTAAGGCAGGAGGCAGAGCAGGGGAGTAAGGCAGGAGGCAGAGCAGGGGAGTAAGGCAGGAGGCAGAGCATGGGAGTAAGGCAGGAGGCAGAGCAGGGGAGTAAGGCAGGAGGCAGAGCATGGGAGTAAGGCAGGAGGCAGAGCAGGGGAGTAAGGCAGGAGGCAGAGCATGGGAGTAAGGCAGGAGGCAGAGCAGGGGAGTAAGGCAGGAGGCAGAGCATGGGAGTAAGGCAGGAGGCAGAGCAGGGGAGTAAGGCAGGAGGCAGAGCATGGGAGTAAGGCAGGAGGCAGAGCAGGGGAGTAAGGCAGGAGGCAGAGCATGGGAGTAAGGCAGGAGGCAGAGCAGGGGAGTAAGGCAGGAGGCAGAGCATGGGAGTAAGGCAGGAGGCAGAGCAGGGGCGCAGGTGGGTGGTCTCACTTGGTCCACGCGGCCAGAGCAGCCATGCGAGAACAGCGGTGAGCAGAGTGATGCCCGCAAAGCACCCCACTGCAATGCCCACTATGGCACCCGTGGACAGCGACGACACTGCACAGGGGGGCCAGGGCACGCAGGGGGGCACACGCATGCAGGGGGGAAGGGCAAGCAGAAAACGAAAAGGAAGATGAGGATTATGTCAAGGGGTGCTTGCACTAGAGAGAGGCAGTGGCGGTGCATGCAAGTGCGAGGTGAGCAATGTGGGGCAAGGGAGGGGGTGGAGGGGGGCGAGGGCTGACCAACGGTGGTGGTGGAGTTGACGATGCCGCACGTGGAGCCGTTGACCGAGGTGAGTGTGCTGTACCCCGCATCACACACACACGAGAAGTTGCCACTGACACCGGGGGCGGGTGGCACGCACTCGCCATGGCCGTCACACGGGCCGTTCTCTGTGATGCTGCAGAACGCCTGGCACTCGGCAGTGCTGCGCTGGGTGGCGTTGGAGGAGCAGGGCAATTCGGGGTTGATCGTGAGGCAGTTGTAAGAGAGGCTCACACGTGCGCTCTTGCCAGCGCCCGCCACGGAGTAGTCACGCCTCCCGGACACGCTCCCCACGCACTTGCCCGCCGCATCCGAGGTGCTGGTGTCGCCGAGCTCGAGGCGGTTGGGCTTGTTGATCTCGATGGGGCAGACCTGGCAGCCGTCGGCAAAGAGCACGGCGTCGCCGTTGAAGTAGTTGCGCGCCAGGTTCACCAGCGCGTCCCCGTCCGCCACCATGTTGCGAAAGTTGCGGTTCACACGCCCGTACAGACTGTTGCCACTCACGTCACTGCACACCCGCCCACACACACTTGTCAGTGCCACTCCGTTGCTCCATGCAGTGAGTACAGATGTGGCTATTGTGAGAGGGCAAGAGGGAGCGTTGGGGTGCAGGCAGAGCAGCAGGAGGGCGGGGCTCACATCTGGTTGATGCACTTGTCGAAGAGGCACAGCGGCAAGGGCCCGTGTAGGTGGTTGTTGCTCACCATGCTGCCACCCACCCACACGCCGCACACCATGCCATGGCGCGTCAGCAAGCATACGACATGGCACAAGATGTTCACGGGTTGCGAGGAAGACACAAACCAATGGTGCATTGTCGAAGGAGGTGAACATGCAAGGGTATGGCGCCGCGCACACTCACATGCGCCGCACACACTCACATGCGCCGCACACAGTCACATGCGCCACACACACTCACATGCACCACACACACTCACATGTGCCACACACTTACATGCACCACACACACTCACATGCGCCACACGCACTCACATGCGCCACACGCACTCACATGCGCCACATGCACTCACATGCGACATACACTCACATGCACCACACACAATCACATGCGCCAGACACACTCACATGCACCACACACACTCACATGAGACGCACACACTCACATGCGCCACACGCACTCACATGCGACACACACTCACATGCACCACACACACTCACACGCACCACACACTCACATGCGCCGCACACACTCACATGCGCCAGAGAACGGGCAGCGAGCAGATGGAGGGGGGCAGAATTCCTTGAATGCTGTTGTTGTCCAGCCACCTGTCCCATCACACCATGTGCACACACGGTGGACGCGATGTGTGAACGTACATGGCATGTCATGGCAGGGCAGGGCAGGGCAGGGCAGGGCAGGGCAGGGCAGGGCAGGCATGGGGGAAGCGTGTCAGGAGGAAGCATGTGATGGATGGGGAAGCATGTGATGGATGGGGAAGCATGTGAAGCATTGAAAGAGAAGAGCAGGGGGGGGCGAGCAGGGGGCCTGACAGCTGCTCGAGGTTCTGCAGGCGGCTGATGGCGGATGGAAAGGAGCCGCTCAGCTGGTTGTTGGCCAGGTACCTGCACACGGCGCGCCGCCCATGGGGAGACGAGAGGTGACCGGGGGGGACAGGCAGCACGGGTTGGTACGAGGGTGTGAGCATGATAGGGGGAGCACCGGAGCTTTGGCATGGCAGTGTGGCGAGGGCGGGCACCTTGTGACAATGCACACGTGTGTAGCGCGGCAGTGAGGGGACGGCAGCGGAGCGGGCTCACAGGAACTTGAGGTTGGTGAGGGTGAGCAGGGCGTCTGGGATGGACCCCGACAGCTGGTTGTCATTCAGCATGCTGCATGGCGGGGTGGGCATGAAGGGCACGCAGCACGTCACACGGCAACACAAGTGGCAATGCGCTGAGCGCAGCACTGCGTTGGTGTCAGCCTGCTGTGCTGTGCACGCGGGCAGCAGTGGCAGGAGAGCAGAAGGACGCACACATGCATGGGGCGTGGAGCAGTGTGTGGTTACATAGTGTCAAGCGAGGTGAGCGTGGAGATGGAGTCGGGGATGGGCCCTGTGAGGTTGTTGTTGTTGGCCGCCCTGCATGCGCCACACAGCATGGCATGCCAAACACCACATGGAGCACAGGTCAGATGGCTCATGCCACACACACAGTTTGCAGCAGCTGCATGCAGAGAGGGAGCAGCAAGCGTACAGGCGAACAAGGTTGACACGCCAGCGGGAGAAGTCGGGCAGGTTGCCTGTGATGCCGTTGCCCGCCACATCGCTGCATGGTCACACGGGCACGGCACACGAGACAGCAAGCGGTGGGTGAGGGCGCAGACAAGGGAAGGCACACAGACCATGCAAGCAGGCCAGCACCCTCACTGATAGGAAAACGCTCACTAATAGGAAAACGCTCACTGATAGGAAAACGCTCACTAATAGGAAAACGCTCACTAATAGGAAAACGCTCACTGATAGGAAAACGCTCACTGATAGGAAAACGCTCACTGATAGGAAAACGCTCACTGATAGGGGCACGCACAGCATGGTAAGGGAGGAGGATGCCTTGAGGGAGGGTGGGAGGCCGCCCAAGAGGAAGTTGTTGGCCACTTGCCTGCCACGGGGGGAAGGGGTGGGGCCACGTGGGGCAGGTGGGCGAGATGAGCAGAGAACACCTTCGCTACTGGAAGTGGCAGAGGCATGCGTGGACGATGGAAGGACGCCTGCCAGCCATGCAGTGCGGTGGCGGGGGCAGAGCGGTGGTTTGGGCACTCACAGTGACAGGAGCGAGGGCAGCTGGTAGAGGGCTGATGGGATGGCCCCATGGAACTGGTTGTCACTCAGATTGCTGCACACGAGGCGGATGGGCATGAGCAGGTGAGGGGTACGTGTTCCACTCCATTCATCATCTTGCCACACTCGATGTAAGCCACCCTGCATGGCCCCCTACCTACTCTTTCCACGTGGGCTGCCCTCGTGTCCCCATTGCCTTCCTTGACCTCATAGAAGTCCCAGCACTGCGGTGTGCAAGAGGGTACATGTGCGGCGGCAGGAGCACAGCAGCGTGTGCCTCAGAGGTGGCGCACAGTGGGACTCACATGTCAGACAAGTCCGTGAGCGCGCTCAACTGCTGGGAGATGCGCCCTGAGAAGCTGTTGTTCGCCACATTCCTGCCATCGCCATGCCCACACACGCCACCGGGTGCACTCAGTGCACAAGTCACATGGTGGATGAGGGAGCTAGCTCAACAGCAGTGGTAGCAGCAAGAGCGTGCGGAGCGAGCAGGGAATATTGGGGCAAGAACAAATGAGTGTCTCACAGTGCTACAAGCCCCGTGTGGGTGAGAAGCAGCTCAGGGAAGGATCCGGTGAAGCGGTTGTTGGACACGTCTCTGCGCCGCACAGAGAGAGGGTACACATGATGAGCATGCTCTTCCCACGCTCCCACATCCTTCCATGCAGCCCCGTTCATGCCATGCTCACATGCTGCACGTGCAGGCAGGGTGCAGCAGGCATGGGCGTCAAACTCTCTGCAAGGACCCGAGATGTCACGAGGCTTTGCACCTCGGAGGGAGAAGGGCAGACGGCATAGCAGCAGGGAATACAGCATGGTGTGGCGACTCACATGGCGGCGAGGCTTGTGAAAGCTGTGAAGAACTCTGGGATGGCGCCAGAGAAGTTGTTGGTGCTGAGCATGCTGCAGAGGGAAGAGAACAGGGCAGAGAACAGCGGGACAGAGAGGGTAAGGCAAACGCAGGTGGTACGGAGAGAGGCGAGGAGGTAGTGGTAGGAGGAGCGAGAAGGGGGTTGAATGGACTGACATATCAGTGAGCCAGGGCATGCGAGCGATGACGTCCAGCCCCGCCGACAGTCTGTTGTTTGTCACATCCCTGTGGCCGTGGCGGGGTGCACGCACACACGCCAACAGCTGAGACGACAGCACAGCAGAGGTCCGCCAGTGGCGCCCTACCCAGTGCACTCGCATGACCTGCATTGCAACTTTTTGCATGCACATATCATGCAGGGAAGCACGAGGATGAAATGGAGTGATTGCTACTGGGTATGGAGGCCACTACAGAAGAAAGAGATGGGGTGGGAAAAGGCATGAGGCAAAAAGGAGGTGGGGACGGACACGCACAAGATGTAGATGGCGGTGAGGCGAGTGAAGGTGGCGGGAAAGGCCCCTGTGAAGCGGTTGTACTTGAGCTCCCTGCACGCACAGCACAGCACAGCACAGCACAGCAGGGCACATGCAGTGCTCGCACAGGGCTTATGGGCGCCCACAAACGCGCGCTGCACGCACGGTGCAGCAGGGCAAGGCAGCAGAGTGGTGGTGGCGGTTGAGGGCTGGCATGTGCGTGGTGACATGCGTGTGGATGAGGGGTCGCTCACAGCTCTGTGAGGGTGGGCAGGGCGAGATGTGGCGGGATGCTGCTCTCAAACCCATTGTAGCTTAGAATTCTGGCAGGGAATGGGTGAGAAGGGCAGGGGAGGGAGGAGAAGGCGAGGGAAGAAGGGACAAAAAATCTGTCTGCACCCATGCTTTGCTCGCGTACTTGCGCCTTGCATTCACCTCACGGCTTGGTCACCACTGTTACTAGAGTGTGGGCCACTGCAATTTCCACTCGTGCTAATAAGTCACAACGAGGGCCAGTAATCAATGTGAACAAGTGGGAAAGTGTATGGTTGGGCACAGAGCACTAGAGCGTGTGAAGCATGCAGTACTAGGTAGATTGATTATGAGTGGCGGTGCGCAATGCAGTGGTGCATGGCGGCACAGGTGGAGGCAGAGAGAAGCGGCGACGAGACACCCACAAGGACTGCAGGTTGGTGGTGAAGATTGGCGGTATGGTCCCTGACAGCTGATTCCACGACAGGTCGCTGCCAGCACCACGAGCAGCAAGGCACGGGAGACACACAGGCAAGCAAGGGAGCGCAGAGTGAGTGAGGGGTGGAAAAGTGTTGGCAGGAGAACATGCATATGTGGACTTGCATGTTGCTCATTCCCTGGCGTTCATTTGGTGACACGCCCAACCTCTAGCATCCGTGCAGCAGCACTGACCGTGGACTGTGCGTGCCACGTGGAGCACACGTGGGAAGGTGGGCAGGGCGGTCGCACCGTGCAGCATGGTGCGGGCGTGCAGCAACGCACGCCTCCATAGACCCCCCTGCCACCCACGCCAACCCTTCGCCCCTCTCCTCACTATGCCACCTAACCAACCTCCCTGCATCTTCCTCCACCCGTGCTGCCCGTCGTTTGGGCACCTGGGTTGTGTCCGTGCGTGCTGATGGCACGCACGGCCGTGCGCAGTGGAGCAGGCGTGCAGCAAGGCGTGGCAGCACAGCGGACAGCAGGCCCATCACGTACAGTGCCGTGAGCGCTGTCAATGTGGAGTACGCTTCGGGTATGGCGCCTTGGATCATGTTGTAATTCAAAGAGCTGCAATGAGGAGAAGGCAGATATGCATACGCTTGGTGGAAAGGCAGGCAGTGGCAAGGATGGCAGCACTCGAAGTGGCAATCAGGTTGCTACAGTGAAGGTGGCGAGGGAAAAGCAGTCAGTGCGGCCAGCAAACAGCAGTGCAGCAGATAATGGCCTATGGCATGGCATCGAATGGCAAGGCATGGGATGGCATGGCATGACATGGCATGGGACGACATGGAATGGCATGCCATGGGTTGATTGACATGGCATGGCATGGATGGCAAGGTATGGCATGGCGCCTGACAGTTGTTGCAAGTTGACCAGGTTAGACAGACCTCCCGGCAAATAGCCCGCCAGGTTGTTTCTATTAATGAATCTGCAGTGCACCACACAGCATAAGGTGGGGCCCAAGCAAGATGAGGAGCATGGTGGTAATGGGATGGGCCATCAATCAAGCAGCACCCTCACATGCCCATTGCTCGCACACACTGTTTCACGGAATGCCACTCAACAACCAACGGCCTGTGTGACGTGTCCATGCATGCATGCACGCCATGCGTCCAACCACCGCCATGGGCACTTGGCTTGCCGAACTCCACACGCCTTTCCAGCGCTCGGGCCATACTGCTCGGCAGCTACACATGTGGCTCAGCTTGGCAGCCCATGCCCCGTGCATGCACCGTAATGCCCACATTGCCCTCAGATGCTCCAGGAGCTCTCACAGCTGAATGGTCAAGACATTCACACATGGGAGACTAATCAATTTCTTCTAGAATCAAGTGTTGAGTGTGTATATTTGTGGCAGATTTGTATTCGACTTAACCGTATTTCGATGTAGAACAGCTGTTCGGTCGACTACAAACTTGAACACTATTAACGAAGTATATTTGTATTCAGCTCCCATTCATTCTTACCGGCTTAACCAGGGGAGAGTGGGCAGCACAGCACGTACAGCTGAGTGAGGGCGGTGAGCAGGGAGATGCCATCTGGCAGCACCCCATGGCGGGTTGCCTCGTCCGTGTTCAGGTTCCTGCACGGAGAGGGGGCAGCGCTCATGCCAGTCAGTGCGCGAGTGAGGGGGCAGTGACGCGATGGCCGGGTGGTTGAGCAGGTGGTGCGGGGGCGGCGAGGGGGGGCGGAATCTCATCTCACAGGGTGCGGAGGTTGGAGAGATGCACCACCCAGTCGGGGAAGTCTGAGGCGCGCAGGTATGACAGGTCGCTGCAGGGGGTGCCATGGGGTGGTACAGGGACAACAGAGGGGCGCACCAACGGGGCTAAGCAGAGCAACCCTACCATATGCATGCAGTGTGTGCATGGTGGTGGTGTGGAAGAACGTGACACGTGGTGCCTCGTGTCATGCGTGTGGTGAGCTTACAGTGCAGTGAGGGCAGTCAAGTATCGGAGGTCCCTGGGGACCTGTCCTGTTGCATTGGTGAGACTGCACAGCCTCCTGCACGCACACAGCAGCAGCGCACGTGTTACCATGCATGTCATCTATCACTGCATGGCAGGCCACGGGTGCATGCGATGCAAGCAGAGGTGGGAGGGTCAGGGACGGTCAGGGAGTGTGATGCGAGGGGTGCGGTGCGGCGCTCACAGGTTGCGGAGGGAACGGAGGTTGGAGAGCATGGCGAGGGAGGAGAGGTCTCCTTGGAACTCCACCATATCCGTCAGCCTCCTGGTGAGGGCGGACGGAAAGGGGCGAGAGCGGATACAGCGAACGGAGAGACGCAAGGGAGTGGTGGGCGAGGCCCATGATGGGTGGTGCGCCAGCAGCACATGATGGGTGGTGAGTCAGCGCACCCACCAACAACCTCCCACACCAGCGCCGGCAGGCAGCAGGTGCGCGCACGTGGGTGGGGGTAAGGGACGCTACAGGCCCACGCCATCGTGGTGCGTGCCCCGTGCCGTGCATGCTCTGCGCCGCGCGGAGGCAAGCCGCGCCAAGCGCAATAGAACATCGTGGGCAGCCCCTGTTGTACAAGGCGCTACAGTGAGGATGCTTGGGTGTGCGTGTGCAGGGCGTGGAGCGTTTGAAGGGCGTACAGCGTTTGCAGGTTGGAGAGCGTGGAGAGCCACGTGAGGTCGCCGTAAGTGCCCGTCAGCTTGCACAGGCTGTCTCCTCCCAGGGCGCTGAGCGCAGGGGATACGCGCAGAGGACACAGAGCGACAGGTGAAGGGCAGCGGGAGCCACGAGGAGTGGGCATGGCACGAGAAGAAAAGGTGTTGTTGCATATGAGGAACGGAGGGGCAGTGGCGGACAGAACGGGTGCAGCGTGACGTTTGGACGAGGAATTGAGCGATGGGCGAGGGCACGCACAGATAGGTGAGGCGGGTGAGCGCGGCGAGTGATGGCAAGGGTCCCTTGAGGGTAATGCCGTATGTCAGATCGCTGCACACACGGCAAGCAGCACACGGAAGCAGGGCGAGCAGTGATGGGCACGGGACATCGGGCACGTGCTGGATGTGCACGTGACCGCTTGGTTGAGGGCACACAAATGGGAAGAGACGAAAGGACGAAGGCGGGTGCAAAAACTCAGAGTCCAGGTATTGGAGTTGCGGGTACGAGGAGGCGCACAGGTGATGGAGGGTGGAGAGGCGGGTGATGGAGGGCGGTATCACGCCACCTGGTGGCGGCCCGGGGTCCACCGCTTCATTCAGAGTTCTGCTCACCAACACGCACAAGGCAGTTGGGTATCCGTGTGCTTGAGGAGCGTGTGCGGCGGTGTAAGGCACAACAAAGGTTGCACCAACGTAGGCGCGTGCACGCTGTACATGATGATAAGCACGAAACAGAAACCACAACGGCGGTCAGCGGCGAAATGCTTGGCAATCTTGGACAAACCGACACCACTCGCACAGGCCACCATGCACGCCACGACACCCATTCTAAAAAGGTACAGCACTGTCAACCCGATCCCATGAACGCGCCCCTCCTCGCGTTCCCCTTTGTATCGCCTGCCGCGGCTTTGCACGAAGGGTCAAAAGGTTACGGCTGCGCCTCTGAACAACTGGCCCAGTGGTCTAAAGGACGGGGCGTTATACCCTCCCCACCCCCGCCCCCTCACAAGCACGGTGTCAGGATGAGAATCCACTTGGAAGCTCACAGAGCAACGACGAATCCGCGCGGGGAGCACTGGACGCCAGGCCACGCGGTGCACGCAGTGGTGGCGTTGGTGTTCTTGGGCCACATGCCCCACGCCTTGTTCAGCTCCAACAACACGCTCACTGCGCCGCTCGCCGCGAAGCGGGGAGGGGGGGGGGGGGGGGAGGGGGGGAAGCGGGGCGCGGGGAGGAGGGTGGAGGGGGGAGAGAGAGGGGAGGGAGGGAGCGGGGGGGGGAAGGGGCAACGTGGTCGCAGGAACCGTGGAGGATCAGTCAACTGATGAAGGGAAAAACGTTAAAGGGTCTACGCGGGTGCGAACGACTCACGCTGGCTCTCCTCAAGAAAGGGCGCGTCGCGGGCTGCTGCGGTTCTCGTATTTAGCGTTATAAGTGAGCGTCTGCGGCCGGGTCGCACTAGCGGGGACACCACCCGCCGTTTCCGCAGGCTAGAGGCATCGCGATGCGGTGGTGGATTCTGCTCGCCTGAGAAAAAGCAATCGGCAGCGGCACTGAAAGTGAGCAGCGAGAGGAGGAAAAGGCGAGAGACAATTGCCTGGAGCCTGCTGCTTGCACGGCGGCGAGTGTTGCGTAGCATCGCGAAAGAGTGGCTCTGCTGAAGTTGCTCTCGTGTGAAGTAGGCAACTTTGTTGCAAATGGGGAGGCCACACCCCATTTGGCGTGAAGGAGGCTAGCGGCATGGCGACCCTGGCTACATGCCCCGCCTATCCACCACCACACCACACCACACCACACCGCAGCCGTCACTAACGACGCCACACTCTACACTCCCCTGCCTAACCGTGGTGAATGGTTTGTCACCATAGTTGTGGTGGATTGGTCAGGTTGGGACGAAAGCACACCAGCCACATAAGGGCTGAGAAAAAGTAACCAGCCACACCAGCCCTAAGGACGTAGTGCAGATCAGGCCGATCTGAGTTCGATTGCTGTCGGTCGGGTCAGGTCGGATCGGAACGGGTTTAGGGTTTAGATTGCCCCAATCTGAGGCATATGTCGATTGCGTCCCGAGACGCGCGATCTGACCATGAATTTCACGGAAGTCTGGTAGAAACATCAACGTTACCAGGCAATTGACACTCTTCCAGTCAGAAATGGCGACACCCAGCGATGTTTTGGATCGCCCAATTACAAAGTAGCCCCTTCTGACGTTCCAGATTCTTCCAAGCTCTTCGTCCAAGTTCTATTTTCACAATATCCAATGGTTCTGCGAGCATTTCAGAATTTCAGCAGAGTGAGTTACCATTCGCAACTATCGCCAGGCCCCGCGATCTGAAGCAATCTATCGATTGCAATCGATTGTGTGAGATCGGGCGATCGATCGCAATCGATAGGTTTCCGATCGCAATCGAGAGATTGCTCCCGATTGCATGCGATTGCCTCAAAATACCCCTGCGGCTTCTTGAAAATGGTGGATTCCCCAATCTGAGGCAATCGGACTCAGATCGGGACGATCTGCACCACGTCCTAAAGCGATGAACCCCACCATTCATGCATCATGCTCGAAACCAGCGGGGGTAGTACTGTATATCTGACAGAAATGTTTTTTTCCCCCTGTGATTGAGTTTGGGATCCTCTAAAGGTGCTTAGCGAGGGGCGTCCTCTCTTAAGTGTGGGACAACAACCGCCCAACCGCCTACCACGACTATCACGTTAGGTAATTATCCACAAAACTCAGTGTTAAACATATATTTCTAAATTCTAGGGTATTCGCAAACCATGTTAGCCGGCTCACTTATCGCGTCGGCAATTGTGGACGACGTCACTGGCGTTTCAAGTGACGTCCTAATCGAGTGCTCCAACTGAGCTTCACTTGTCTTTTGAGAGTGCTTGTTTGTAATTTACCCTGTCAACACTCGGGTCCCTACATGTTCTATTGTGACAACGTTCGTCAATTATTTTGCCAATTTACAACGTACTTTCCTTCGCAAACTAGCAGTGCTATCATACATTCACGTAGTGAAAGAAAGCACAAATTATCCGCGGAAAATTTTTAAGCTGTTCTGGTACGTAAGCAAAATTCAAATTCAACGTTATTCCGAATTTTAATGCATTTCACTATCTCCACCGCTCACTGACTGTGGTTGTCAAACTCACTGTTGACATGTACCGACAAAACGCAAAATGAATGTGTTCTTAGCCCGGGCTGAACAAATTTGTACAATACTATCTTGTATCCACTTACAAGAAACAGTAAAAACTGTTGTACTAGCCTACAGTTCTAATCTCCTTTCTGAATAGCTTGTGGATACAACATCTTCTCAGCACCAGCTTCCACCACCATCTTGCTGATAGGGGTCTTTCCTCGGGGGGCTGTGAACAAGAGCCGGGATAAACTCTCCATCACATCCGGGGCAAAGACACGGTAGTAGAGAAATGTTGTGTACCATGATGGCACCCGCACGTAGCGTTGGCGACGTAGTGCACCATTCACAATAGCAGACGCACACCAAGCAGTGGGCTCTACTGGGAATGGACCCACATGAGCCTGCCCAGCATTAGATCAAGGTGACGTGAGGACAATTTTCAAGTTGTATCAGTTGTATGGACATAATAGGAGACACCAAATACACCGTGAATCTGAGCATACTTACATCTCTCTGTTCCTTGTCCCACACAACCCTTCCTTCGGCTGTCACGAACTTGCCAGCCGTCATTTCACTCTCCACCCATCCGGGAGTAGCAATGGTGATGCCCACCTCGTCGCCCACCTCCACACGCAGCGTATCGAAGAAGTTCACCAGCGCTGCTTTCGCTGCCTGCCACCACACAGGCATTCTAGCTCACGTTGCATATCCTTCCAAAACACCAACACATAGCTGAGCAAAGCTGCAGCACATGCAGATAGTTTAGCAGAGAAAGCTACGCATGCAGTGGGCGGCCCGTACATTGTAGACGGCCATGCGGGGGTATGGGATGAAGGACGCCACAGACGAGGTGACGACGATGTGGCCCTGGGAGCGCCGCAGATGAGGCAGCGCATAGAACGTGGGATAGATGGCGCCCCAGAAGTTCACATCCTGCACACATGCACGCGCACGCGATCAGCAGCAAGGGTATGACTAAGAACGGGTAGATGCAAAGCGGGTGCAGCGGGCGCTCACCATGACTTCCGCGACGTCCGTGGTCTTGGCCTCCTCCATGAAGAAGCTGTGTGCGATGCCCGCGTTGTTCACCAGATGGTCCACTGCCACACGCAACATCCCCACACGTAACGCAATCGCTCACCCGCAGGCACATGACCAGCAAAACCTCCACAGACGGGAGGCAGAGTAAAGCGGGATGAAGTACTCACGGCGTCCGAAGGCGGCGATGGTATCGTTGATAAGCTTCTCGCACTCCGCCGCCACCGTCACGTCCACCAGAGCAACGCGCGCCTCCGCGCCCTCCATCTTGCACATTTCCGCAGTGCGCCGCAACTCCTCCTCCCGCCGCCCCGCCAACACCAATCGCGCGCCCTTCTGCGCATATACCCGCGCTGCCTCCTGCGGAAAATAAAATTTATGGCGGGTGGTAAGAGCCCGCTCTGCAGCGCGATCCTCCCTAGTCGTAAAGCTGCAGATGTCAACGACCGGAAAATAAGCATGTTCGGATTGACGACGGCGGTGCTCTACGGAGTTTGCTAGAACCAGACCTGACCGATGCCCGACGACGCGCCCGTGATGACGACGACCTTGCCCCGAACGTCCTCAGGGAAGAAGAGGCCAAAAGCCCACGTCGCAAAGCGCATTGCCGCTACCAAGGGCGCGATGAAGAGGAGGAACGCGACGCTCACGGGCAGCAACGTTAAGTCTAGAAGCAGGTGAACGATTTCCATGGCGGCTGACGCACACACACGCTACAAGCAACAATACTGAGAATCGACAACACCTCCAAGTAACTCATACTCAACCCTCTTGGATGTGCTGATAATCTTTTACATCCGATCCGACGATGTTGATACAACGATGTTGATACGAATCGCGAAACACCATGTCGCCTCCTCGTTTCGCGACACGTAGAGGGTCCAATGACAACAGAAAAGCGGCGGCACGAGGGAAGCCCTACAGGCCAACACGTGCTTTGCTGCATGCCGAGCAAAAACAAAGAGAACAATCCGAGGTGAAGGGAGAGGTATTGGGGCATGGCGAAGCTGAGAACTAAACTGAACTGTGTCAATAAAGACTAGAGGCTTTTGAGGAAGGGAAAATATGCCACAAGTAACAATCATGTGACCCCGTAACGTCAATGGTAAAAATAAAAAGCATACGGTAACTGTATCGAGTATCCTGACGGGCTTGGTAAGCGGGGTCACGGAATCAGTCACTAGCAACAGCTAAAGAATCACACGAATGGTAACACATGAAACCCCCGCCAGAAATTCCTGAAACCAGGCCGATTTCCTGCTCGCGCCAACTCGTGCCGAGAGGTTTGATGCACGCTTGTACCGTCGAGCCTCCAGCCCACCGTAACCACACCACGACCCGACGTGCTGTACACCCCCCTGCCCGCTACGGTTCCAACCAAGTACAGAACCTTGACCCCAGCGCAGCTCTCCAACTTACTTCCCCCCATCAGCTATTCCTCACGCTATTACTAGTAGCTATAGCTTTCGCCAGCTGGCTTCCCGTTCACGCATCCAAGGCGTTCGTTAGCAGCACCTGACGTCTATCAACGGTGCGTGCCTTAGCCCTAAAGCCTTTCCCCATCCATTCACGTTTAGTCACTTGTTACTCGAAAATTACTACTAATATGAATGAATAAAGTCAATCAGACCGCTGTCGCGATGCGCCCACAAACCGGCGTGCCGAACAGCGCCCGATGCATCGGGCCCGATCGTCGCGAGATGCATCGCGACGATCAGGAGCAGCCGCCGCCGCGATGCGCATTGCGGCCAGCTTCGGGCAGCAAAGCGCATCGCGCCGACTGGGCCGCCGCCGCCGCGATGCGCATTGCGTCCTGCTTTTGGCCGCTCCACGCATCGCGCCGACCAGGCCGCCGCCCTCGGAATGCGCAATGCGGCCACCCTGCCGGGCACATTGCGACGATCCGCCACCGTGATGCGCTAACCCGCCGCTCAGCGCGTCGCGCCTCTCTGGCCACCGCCGAGGCCAGGGTGCCCATGCACTCTCGTCTGCTAGCCTCCCCTCTCGTGCTCTCTTGTCTCCTACCCATCTTTCCTCACTCCCTCGCATGCCGTGTCATCCCCGGCCAAAGCCTCGATTACGTCAATTCCCTCTCTCGTGCCAGGCTTTTCTTTTATGCTATCTCGTGCTTGACTGCTCTCTAGTCCCCTCTAGTTACGTTGAGTCTCCTCTCCATCCCTCTCGCACACCCCCTCTCATACACACTCATCCCTTCTCCATCCCTCTCGCTCACCCCCTCTCGTACACACTCATCCCCTCTCATCCCCTCACACACACTCCCGTTCCCTCTTATCCCCTCTCATTCACTCTCACTCCCTCTCATTCCCTCTCATTCCCTCTCTTTCCCTCTCATCCCTTCTCATCCCCTCTCATTCACTCTCATACACTCTCATACACTCTCATCCCTTCTCATCCCCTCTCATTCACTCTCATACACTCTCAACCACTCTCATCCACTCTCCTAAACTCTCATACTCTCTCATCATTCCTTATCATACACTCTCATTCACTCTCATCCCCTCTCATCCTCTCTCATCCCATGTCATTCCCTCTCATACACTCTCATACCCTCTCGTACCCACTCTCATATACACTCATATACACCCTCATCCCCTCTTATACACTCCCATACACACTCATACACTCTCATACACTCTCATTCACACTCATCCCCTCTAATCCCCTCACATCCCCTCTCATCCCCTCTCATCCCCTCTCATACACTCTCACACACTCTCATACACTGTCTTTTACACTCTCATCACTCCTCATCCACTCGCATACACTCTCAACCCCTCTCATCCTCTCTCATACACTCACATACACCCTTATTCACTCTCATCCCCTCTCATCCACTGTCTGATACACTCTCATCCCCTCTCATACAAACTCATACCCCCTAATCCGCTCTCATCCACTCTCATACACTTCCATACACTCTCATTCACACTCATCCCCTCTTATCCCCTCACATCCCCTCTCATACACTCTCATCCCCTCTCATACACACTCATCCCCTCTCATACACTCTCATACACTCTTGTACACTCTCATACCCTCCCATCCACTATCATATACACTATCATCCCGTCATACTCTCCCGTACACACTCATACACTCTCATCCCTCCTCATATACTCTCATACACTCTCATCCCCTCTCATACACTCTCATACACTCTCAACCACTCTCATTCAATCTCCTACACTCACTCTCATACACTCCCATCCCCTCATACACACCCATTCACTCTCATACACACTCATTTCCTATCATCCGTTCTCATCCTATCTCACACACTCTCATCCCCTCTCATATACTCTCATCCCCTCTCATATACTCTCATCCCCTCTCATCCCTTCACATCCCCTCTCGTTCACTCTCATACACTCTCATACACTCTCATCCCCTCACATACACTCTCATACACTCTCAACCACTCTCATCCACTCTCCTAAACTCTCATACACTCTCATCATCCCTTATCATACACTCTCATTCACTCTCATCCCCTCTCATCCCCTCTCATCCCATCTCATTCCCTCTCATACACTCTCATACACTCTCGTACCCACTCATACCCACTCATACACTATCATATACACTCTCATCCCCTCTTATACACTCCCATACACACTCATACACTCCCATACACACTCATACACTCTCATACACTCCCTTTCACTCTCGTGCACTCTCATCCCTGGTCATCCCCTATCATCCCCTCTCATCCCCTCTCATCCCCTATCATCCCATCTCATACACTCTCACACACTCTCATACACTCTCTTACACACTCTCAACCCTCCTCATCCACTCTCATACACTCTCAACTCCTCTCATCCTCTCTCATGCACTATCAGACACTCTTAAACACTCTCATCCCCTCTCATACACACTCATACCCCCTAATCCGCTCTCATCCACTCCCATACACTTCCATATACTCTCATTCACTCTCATCCCCTCTCATCCCCTCTCATCCCATCTCATTCCCTCTCATATACTCTCATACCCTCTTGTACCCACTCATATACACTCTCATCCCCTCTTATACACTCCCATACACACTCATACACACTCATACGCTCTCATCCCCTCTCATCCCATGTCATTCCCTTTCATACACTCTCATACCCTCTCGTACCCATTCATACCCATTCATACACTATCATATACACTCTCATCCCCTCCTATACACTCCCATACACACTCTTACACTCTCATACACTCCCTTTCACTCTCGTGCACTCTCATCCCTGGTCATCCCCTCTCATTCCCTCTCATCCCCTATCATCCCATCTCATACACTCTCACACACTCTCATACACTCTCTTACATACTCTCAACCCTCCTCATCCACTCTCATACACTCTCAACTCCTCTCATCCTCTCTCATGCACTATCATACACTCTTAAACACTCTCATCCCCTCTCATACACACTCATACCCCCTAATCCGCTCTCATCCACTCTCATACACTTCCATATACTCTCATTCACTCTCATCCCCTCTCATCCCCTCTCATCCCATCTCATTCCCTCTCATACACTCTCATACCCTCTCGTACCCACTCATATACGCTCATATACACTCTCATCCCCTCGTATACACTCCCATACACACTCATACACTCTCATACAGTCTCATGAGCACTCATTCCCTCTTATCCCCTCACATCCCCTCTCATTCCCTCTCATCCCCTCTCATCTCCTCTCATCCCCACTCATACACTCTCACACACTCTCATACACTCTCTTACACACTCTCATCCCTCCTCATCCACTCTCATACACTCTCAACCCCTCTCATCTGTTAGAGACTGAGGACGGAGTCTATGAAGATTAGGTGCCCAAATTTCTCAAAATCGTTGGTCTCAATTTCTGGACAGAAACGTCGACTTCACAGGGTTTAGGGTTTAGGGTTTAGGGTTTAGGGTTTAGGGTTTAGGGTTTAGGGTTTAGGGTTTAGGGTTTAGGGTTTAGGGTTTAGGGTTTAGGGTTTAGGGTTAGGGTTTAGGGTTTAGGGTTTAGGGTTTAGGGTTTAGGGTTTAGGGTTTAGGGTTTAGGGTTTAGGGTTTTAGGGTTTAGGGTTTAGGGTTTAGGGTTTAGGGTTTAGGGTTTAGGGTTTAGGGTTTAGGGTTTAGGGTTTAGGGTTTAGGGTTTAGGGTTTAGGGTTTAGGGTTTAGGGTTTAGGGTTTAGGGTTTAGGGTTTAGGGGTTTAGGTTTAGGTTTAGGGTTTAGGGTTTAGGGTTTTAGGGTTTAGGGTTAGGGTTTAGGGTTTAGGGTTTAGGGTTTAGGGTTTAGGTTTAGGGTTTAGGGTTTAGGGTTAGGGTTTTAGGGTTTAGGGTTTAGGGTTTAGGGTTTAGGGTTTAGGGTTTAGGGTTTAGGGTTTAGGGTTTAGGGTTTAGGGTTTAGGGTTTAGGGTTTAGGGTTTAGGGTTTAGGGTTTAGGGTTTAGGGTTTAGGGTTTAGGGTTTAGGGTTTAGGGTTTAGGGTTTAGGGTTTAGGGTTTAGGGTTTAGGGTTTAGGGTTTAGGGTTTAGGGTTTAGGGTTTAGGGTTTAGGGTTTAGGGTTTAGGGTTTAGGGTTTAGGGTTTAGGGTTT